CAAATAATTGAAAGCATGTCAGATGGTGGTAAACACTTTGGAGAAAAAGAAAAAAAAAAAAAAAGAATGTTTTCAGGCCTGTCTTCACATTTGGCTTGCTTTAGGTTTATTTAACTTATGCATTATGTTTAATTATTTTTGTTTCTCCATTCATTGTTTTTAGCTTAGTGTTTTTATATTTACTTTTGATCTAGTCTCTCATAAGTCACAATCTTGGTTTCTTTTATGTTCTTTTGTTTAGTTTTGTTTTAATTTTTGCTATAGTGTATGTGCACTTGCCCGAGAGGTACAGAGAGAGAGAGAGGGAAAGTGAGAAATCACTCCCTAGCATTAGATGGCTGTACTGCAGTCCCTTCTCCTCCGTTCTCCACTCAGGATTTTGGGCAAGCATGAACACACTGTAGGCATGTTTTTCATGCTACTGGGTCTAGGACTCAAACTGTGAGGTCAGCTGCCATAATTACCACATCATCATTTTTTATCTTTTTTTTTTTCACCTACGTAGAGACAGCTGTTGGGGACCAGCAAATGGCATAATGGTTATGTTGTTGGACTCCCACATTGTTAACCACAGTTTGAGTCCCAGACCTGGCAGCTTAAAACCCATACAGGGTGCATGCATGTGCATAGCCAAAATACCTAGAGGAAAATGGAGGAGAAGGGATTGTGGTATGGCCATCCTCCTGCCCCTGGATGGGAATGATTTCTCACTTTGTCTCTCTGGTGAGCACATGTACCGTACAGCAAAAATCTCTCTAAAATAAATATAAAAAATATATACTAAACACAAACTTTTTCTCAGTTTCCTAATGCATGTTCAATAATGCAAGGTAAGTAATACTTGACTGGATAAGGTCAATTTCTGCATTCTTATGCATTTTTTTTCTTCTTTTTTTCTTTTTTTTTTTTTTTTTTTTTTTAGAGGTATTTGCTTTAGGGTACCTAGGCTGGGGGCAGGGAGAGGAAACAGTGAGAGGGGGAAATTGAGAAATCACCCTCTTGGAGTACAATCCCTTCTCTGCCATTCTCCTTCAGGAATCTTGGACATGTCTGTCATAAGTTTCAAGTCACTAGGTCCAAGACTCAAACTGCATCTCTTGGGGACCAGTAGCCTCCTTTCCGTTCCTCTTATACCTGTGTGGGCTTTTGCTGACTGGAACCATCACTTACTTAACAAGCCCCCTGCGGACACATGTTTGGGTTATTTCCCAGTTTTTGCTATTTTTTTAATTTGAGAAGTATTTAATCCCATTTATTTTATTTTATTTATTTATTTAAATTTGACCAGAGAGGGACAGAGTGTGTGTGTGAGAGCGAGAGAAAGCCGCCAGGTCCAGAACTCAAACCGGGGTCGGCCATATGGGAGTCCAGCGCCCTTAACCCCCACACCACCTGCCGCTCTGTCCCCCCACCCCCAGCCCTTGTCCTTTGCTATTAGAAAGCTCTGCCTCCTATACCCTTCCTGAGCATCATTTCACAGAGGAAGGGACACCTTGTCAGGGCAAACGGCCCTCACATTTTTATTTTGATAAACTTTGCCTTTAAGAAAATCACCAGGCCACCATGCGCCAACTGCATGGTTTAAGTCCCAGACCCAGCGTTTTGAAAAACACCCTGGGCACATGTTTTTGCATGCCCAAAACCTGGGAGGAGAAGGGATTATGGTGTGGCCATCCCCCTGGGAGGTGATTTCTCACTTTCCCTCTCTCTCCAGTGAGTGCACATACCCTATAGCAAAAACTAAAAATGTATAAAGTTTAACCCATAAAAGGACAAATAATAAATTAGATATCAAAATTCAAACCTCTGGTCTTTAAAAAAAAAAAAGGAAAAACAAAAGACACACCTTTATCCAGGTGTGACTCCACTAAAACACTCTGCCCTCCATGGGCTGTCCTGGAGATTGTGCGTGGGAATGCAAACTGGGAGAAATTTGAAGACATAGTTTCAAGATCACTTCATCAACTTGGAAAAAAAAATCTTCCATGAGAGAGACAGGAAAAGGCAACCCTGCCCTCAGCCAGCCAAGATCCTGGGTGTGCATGCCTGTGCTAGCATGCACAAGGAGACCTCGGGATTTGAACCTGGGGCCTCCCCACAGGGCTTCAGCATCACTGAGCAGGTGCGACTGCTGTGCCACTCTGACGGGACACCAGCTTGGTTTTGTTGAATCTTCCACTCTGCCCATCTGACAGGTGCAAGCGGACTTATTCTGTAGTTAGCGTGCCCCTTACTGTTTTTTCTGACTGAATGTCGCCTGTTTTTTCACTTATTCGGGGAGTATTTGCATATTATTTCCTGTGAACTGTTCATGCTTCTTTCATAATTTATTTAATGTGGTAGTAGACATTTATAATATACATTTATGAGCTCTTAAGAGGTTAAAGATTGCAATGTATCTTTCATTAGAATTAAAATGAGTTTTTATGTCTTTTTTTCTACACAGACATTTTAAGCTTTTAGTAGGTTTTAATAATCTTTTCTTTTTTGTCAGAATTTTGTGTTGTACTTGGAAAGGTATTCCCCAGTCTGAGATTGTTCTTTAAAAACCCTGTGTTTTCTTTGAGTTAGATCCCTATTTGAACAGCCGCCTCCCACTGTGGAAATTATGGAAAATGGTGTAGGCCGGTCCCAGGTGCTGCACCTGTCGGCGTCTGGGCTCAGCTTACAGCAGGGCTTCTTCCCTCCCCAGACAAGTACATGCAGATGAATCACGCACTGTTTTCTCTCAACGGCCGGACGGGCTACGTCCTCCAGCCTGAGAGCATGCGGACAGAGAAGTACGACCCGATGCCGCCCGAGTCCCAGAGGAAGATCCTGATGACTCTGACCGTCAAGGTAGCTCCCGCCCTCCTGAGGGCTGGGGAGGGCCCAGCAAGGACCCGGGGCTGGGGATGCTGTCGCCCCATCGGCATCATCAACGCCAGACCGCGTTCGGGGTCTTTAGCTCACTCCAGGGTCAGTTGGGGGAAAGGAACGGAGGAGGACCCGAGCCCTGTCAAGGTCTAGAGACTTACGAGTCTGTCTCCCTGGGTTCCCTGCGAGGTCAGCCTCCAGGCAGAAAGAGCAAAGTGAGACCTGGTCCCTGTGCTTTAATGCATGAGGAGTTTGTCCTGTGGGGCCCGCTTTAGGAGTTCAAGCGTTTTAAAATTTGTCTTAACTTTCAGGCAATATGTTGTTTCTTTGCAATATTCTTTAAAAGATAGAGACAATAAGTTACATTTTTCATGAGAAAAGGAAAGAAGAAAGCATATGAAGGGACTTCACAAAGTTTGTGGAAAGTGGAATGAAAGCTTCTTTTGGTGCAACCCTCCCCCCCAAAAAATATCCATGTATAGTTTATTATTATTTTGTATTTATTTTTTAAGTTTTTTTTTTTTTTTTTAGAGAGAGAGAGACAGTGAGGGAAAGTGACAGATCACCCCTGGGGGGGATGACCACGCTGCAATCCCTCCTCCTCCTGGGATTTTGGCATGCACACACACGTGCCTAATGTGATCTTCAAGCTGCTAGGTCTGCCATAGGGCGGGCGCCGCCACGCCCAAGCTGCTAGGTCTGGAACTTCAACTGTGGTTGCCCATGTGACTGACCCTGTGTATAGTTTTATTTTTGTTTGTTTTAGGTTTTTGCCATCAGGTGCATGTGCTCACTGGAGAGAGACTGAGAGACAGTGAAAGGGAAAGTAAGGAATCATCCCCCAGGGGGGATGGCCCCCTTGCATAGTTTTTTTTTTTTTAACATGCATTTTCCATGAGCTTTTTGCTCCCACCCCATAAGTAATCAAAGGTCTTCAAAGAAAGACCAGTTAAAAAGACTGTCATACTCCCTCCCCTCCTTCCTGGACTCCAGTAATCCATTAACTAAGTTTTGTATCTCTGAAGGTGCCCACCTGGGCACAGGTGTGTGCATATATGTGCTTAGTTAGACCACCTGGTGCATCATCGGACTTGTCCTGAGGAGCTGTGGGGCTGCAGCGTGGCTTCTCTAGGAACTGACCCTCTGAACACCCCTCTGGAGAGACCCAGGCTGGCTTTGACTGCACAGTCTCACTCTAGACCCCAAACAGAACTCTGCGTAGCCTGCCTGTGCAGCTTGCATGCAGCTCCGGCCGGGACGTGTCCAGGGGATTGCAGCCTTACCTGTGGTGTCCTAGGTTCTCGGGGCTCGTCATCTCCCCAAACTTGGACGAAGTATTGCTTGTCCCTTTGTAGAGGTGGAAATATGTGGAGCCGAGTACGACAACAACAAGTTTAAGACAACAGTTGTGAGTAAGTGGCCCTAGCCCCTTCTCCCAGACATCAAGTGAGTTGAATCAGATGTGGGGAGGGGGGTGCAATTCACTGGGGAGTTTTCCATGGACTTCTGGTGCCCAGGCTGTGTCATGCATCCCACTTGCCCACTGCAGTTCAGCGCAGCTCAGGAGTCCAGGGCGAGACTCCCGCTCCTTGTCCCACTAGGTTGGCTCCCTCTGGTGCCAGTCTGTCATGATCTATCTTGTGAGTTAAGGCTGAGAGAGAGGAGACATACGCGGCTACCTGGCCTGACAGACCCCCCTTTTCCAGAATCCGTGCTTCTTGCTCTGCACACCACCTCCCTTCTCTCTCCCCCAGCCCAGGGGGTGAAACGGGGATGAGCTCTCCTCCTGTGCTCACCAAGGGCCAAGCCTAGGCTAGGATCAGTCGCTCTTGGTGGGCTCTTCAGATCCCCCTAGATCTCGGCACACGTGTGCTTTTAGTTACATGGTTCTAAGGGCTCCTGAGCTGCAGGATGCTGAAACGTTTGATCAGGAGTGGGCAGGAAGAACGTGGCCCCTACTGAGCTTTGATGTCTTTCCAGATGATAACGGCCTAAGCCCGGTCTGGGCTCCCACACAGGAGAAGGTGACGTTTGAAATTTATGACCCCAACCTTGCGTTTCTGCGTTTCGTGGTTTACGAGGAGGACATGTTCAGCGACCCCAATTTTCTCGCTCATGCCACATACCCCATTAAAGGAATCAAATCAGGTAAGAGGCTTTTTAATTACGATGTTCAATTTGGGCTAGTCTTGTTCTTTTGGTCTGTGCTGCTGGCTTTAAAAAGAATGGAAAAGGGTGCTTACTGGTTTTGATTAAGTCACTGCAGAACTGAGCAGGTGGCTTGGAGAATGGCACTTGTCCCGTCCACCTTCACTTAGCACAGAGGGAGGGAGATGGAGAGGTGGGGTGCTGTGCCCTTCCAAGTCAGTGCGTACATGCACAATCCGGGTGGGAGTCAATGATCCTTGGCACTGTGGCTTGATTTCATTTCGAAATGTTACAAGCGGGTGCCTCTCCCTAGCCAGGGCTAAATCTGGTGCGAGGCCTCTCCTCCCCTGGCTGGCAGCTGACATGGGTGAGGGAGGAAAATCTTCAGCATCTGGTGGAAGTTGCACTCTCGGGCCCAAGGCTAAGCTGTCCGAGCTCACCTCTTCTGTAGAGTTGGGAGGGTTGATCTACTTCTTTGAACAAAACACAAGATCCCTTCATGGTTTGAAAAGGGGCGACCAGGTCTCAAGAACCTGGGTACCGATCCTGACAAGTTGGGTCAGGGTGAACAAGCCCCTCCCACCTGGTTGAGCTAGGCTTTGCCAGGAATGGGACTTAGGAACCAGGGAGCGGCCTCGAAAGCCTGTCATTCATGAAGAAACGGGGCTGTCCTTAGGTGGCACATGTTTCTCTCTTGACTGTCCCGCTGAGTTTTTGTTCACATTTGACAACAGGCTGGTGGTGGACTCTCCTGTCCTCTTCCCGTGTCTGATGTGAGGCAGGGTTCCTCAGGAGGTCACTGGTCTCTGGTCTCCTCAGGATCATTTCTCAAGAGAAAGAGATTACTGCCATTTTAGTTTGTTTATTTTTTAAAACTTGGCACATTATCAGATAGTCTCTCAACTGCTACCTCTCTTAGTAGGACAAATTTCTACCCCTGGATACTGGCCCGGCTAATGCGCAGCAGGCATGTTGGGGGGGGTCCAGTTAGAAAATGCAGATTTCTGGGCCCAGCAACAAGGTCCGAGTCAGCCTGGGGGAGGGCAGGAATCTGCATGTTTCGCCTCTTCTCAGATGGCCCTTGGTGAAAACCAAGCCAGGCCAAGGCTGTCCATCTTCCCTGGAGGAACCAAATACCAAGCAAGTTAATAGATTAAGAGTTAGGGCAAATGTATACGTCGCCTTAGAAATATCCCTTTTCATAACTTCATGAGTATTCCGTTGGTTGGCCCCAGAGGTCTGATGTCTGGGAGTCCCTCGTTAACTTGCAGTGGGTTTCTTTTACATTAGCCTAGTGACCAGGGCTTAGGAATGGTGCCACTTTGGACTCATGGTAATACCAGCCTTGTCTTTATGGTGACTGTGCCTGCTGGATGCCCACGTGAATGGGCAGCTGTGCTGGTACTCCTGTTACCCTGATATTCTCGTGGAGGACAAGGGCGCTCCATGGATGGAAGCTCCTTACCTTACTGACAATCACAGTGTGTCAGTTCATCTAGAAAGTGGTATGACCTAGCTTGGAGACAAAAAAAACAGAACCTCAGGGATGATTAAAAATGTCACCGCTCTCTGCAACCATGAGATATTCTCAACAGGGCCCTTGTTGCTCTCTCTTCCAGCTCTTAGCAATGCCTGGCACATCCATATTCATGGGCGGCCCCAAAGAAAATGAATAATCCCTTTGTGCATAAGGCATCAGGGTCTTCTGCACCCGACAATAGTTTTTGCCCATTGTCATTAGGGATGCACTTAAGCCTTTAAACCAGCTGGGCTCAGGGAGGAAGGAAATAGCATTTATTGTGTTAGGTACCTTAAACTCTCTCTTAATCCTCATGGTAATCCTGTGAAAGGAGTTTTAGCATCTCTGCTTTTAACATTTGAGCACTCAGGGGCCTGGAGATGTAAATTAACTTGCTCAAGGTCACCCACCAGTAGGACCAGAGCTGGGATTCAAGCCCAAAAGTGTCCAACTTCAAGCCTCATGTTCCTCCTACTCGGTCCTGGTGTGGTCTTCCTATTCCCACCATATGCTGCAAGCCCATAACACTGATCTTACTTTAAGAGATGCCTCTATTTTTCTCTCCCCTGTGAAATGACCAAGAAGAATAAGAATTCTATTTTTGATGAAATTGGGAAACACCTTTCTGTCCTAATTCCCATATATTTGAAGGCTTCTCAGTGCATAGAAATCAAACTTGGACAGTGAGAGGAGGTACAAGGAACTGGAGACAGCTCCCTATGAGGAAGAGTTCATGTCTCCAAATTTGGAGACAAATACTATGTGTCGGATAGTGCCGCCTTGCTGTGGGATCGTGCCACTGGAACACGCAGGCTGCCTGTCAGCCTCCCAGGGTATGCAGCATTCTAGGACATTCCAACAGTCCATCAGTACCTAAAACTTCTCCTTCATTGCCCACAGATCAGCTCATTAGAGATGCAGAATCTAGGCCCCACTCTCAACCTCTGCATTTTAATGATTCACAGGTGATTCATATTCACATTAAAGTTGGAGTAGCACTAGGATAGACTGCAAGAATTCTATAGACATTCATCCAAACAAAAATCAAACTAGCAATGAATTCCATCACCTGTAAGGAGTAAATAGATCAGAAATCCTCTCTAGAGCTATATTCAGTGTCTTTAGAATCCTCCAGGGAAAAGAGTATGACCTAAGAGTTTTATACCCACATAGACTATCACTCAATTATAAAATCAAGGGGTAAATATTTTCAGACATGCACAGTTTAGAGATTACAGGGCCCTGAGCTCATTCAAAGAGAGCAAAAGAAAACAAATTTAGTCATTAAGACATCCCCAGGGAAGTTTGGCAAAAAGACGGTGAGATTGAACTGTCTAAAAAATGTAAGTATATGCATTTAATTGTGTTTAAATTTTTTTTGAGAGTGTTTTTTTTGTTGTTGTTGTTTTTGTTTTTTGCTATAGGGCATGTACGCTCGCCAAAAAGACAGAGAGAGACAGAAAGCAAGAAATCACCCCCCGGGGGGATGGCCACACTACAATCCCTTCTCCTCTGTTCTCCTCTTGGGATCTTGGGCGTTCACACACACACCCCCGGCATGAGTTTAAGCCACTGGGTCCAGGACTTGAACCACAGTCGGCTACATGGGAACTCAGCGACATAGCCATTACACTAACTGCTGGTCCCTAATAGTGTTTAAATTTTATATCAGAGGGGACCAGCAGGTGGCATGGTGGTTAAGGCTCTGGACACTCCCACATGGCTGACCATGGTTCAAGTCCTGGACCTTGATTTCTCACTCCCCCCACCCCTACCCTCTGTGTATGTCTCTTTCTCTGGTTAAATTAAAATAAATGAATAATTTTTAAAAAATTTTACATCAGAAGAGAAATACTGTAAATTGAACTTGGGTTAAGGAGATGCATGCTGACATATTCAGAGGAACTATCAGTATATGGGAATTATATTGATGTTTCTTCATCCTACTTTGAATTACATATATAAAGAAGATTGATTATGAATGGACAAAGATATAATAAATTAATATAGTCCCTGACTTAGCATGATTTTTAAGAACTTTCGAAGACTCCTGTATGTTTTTCTTTTAATTAGCAAATAATAGTGCTTTACCTAATGAAAGTGTTACATATTTGGTAAAAATCGTAGTTCAGATTTCAGATTTTCAATTTTTTCTCCTCCTGGGCAAGTGATAAGTGGTGCAATACTCTCTGGGCATGCCGGATTTGGCAGTAAGGCTCCGCTCTCAGTCGGCCTTGCAGTCATGAGGGCGAACAGCTTCTACTCCTCAGTGTTAGCATTTCTTTGGATACTGTATTTTGTAGTTTCGCATCTCTTCATGTCTATAAAATGCCTATTTTCAACTTACGATGGATTTATCAGGGTGTAATCCATCGTAAGCTGAGTATCTGTATAGGAAAGGGTTAATGGTAGAATCTAGACATGCACAGTATTCCTTGTAATAGTCTTTTAACTTTGCTGTGATGTTTGAAAACTTTCATAATAAAGTATTAGAAAAATATAATTAAGCCCTCCTTTGTGGGCGACTTATGGTTACAAAGGGGATGCAACCATTCTGCATCGTGTTGATGTAGAAATAATACACTTTTATCCAAGGTAGGGGTAGGAAAAGAGAAAGTACAGGGTCATGCAGGCCTTATCACAGGCAGTGGGGAATGAGGGACTCAACAGATACTGGTTTTTTTTTTTTTTTTTTTGTCAATTGATTT